ACGGCTATTACAACGTGACCTAAGCAAAAGACTCGGACTCACTCGGCTTCTCGAGTGATACCTCAATTGAACGAGCTATTCGCACTCGTACTCGTACTCAATCTTTGCAATTTCGAAGGGTTTCCTGTCAATTTGAGTTTGGCCCTAGCTTCGTTCGACATGGCCCCTGAGCGAACGCCGTAGTTCGGGCCCTGACGGACAAGCCGGGCGGGCGACGCAGGGAAAACTTTGAGGCCCCGGCCACACCCTCACCCGGCCCGGGTGGCAGCATCAGCCACAGCACGGAAGCAACCGGGCCACACCGGGCAGTCAGCCACAACTTTGAACGTCGTGACACGCAACACTCGACTCACCAAAAGGTAATTACGCACTTTCCAATGACTTCATTCTAAACATGAGTTTGTCAGCTACTCTCTTTCTCTTGATTCATGTCCGACTTCAGTTGTCACATTGGAAGAGTTAGATCATCTCGATTCTCTCGAAGGAAATAAGGAAGGTGTCAAATTACTTACTAACTAGACTTGATCATTGTTGATTAAGTTGAGTGAGAATGAAATCTTCAAGTTTGTTGTGACTGTAGGTAAGTCAGCCAACCAGAGAGGCTGTTAAGTTGCGAGAAAGTTGTTGGAGTCAACACTAGCGAGATGATTCATTTACGAGTTAGTCAGATGGGATACGAGTGAAAAGAGGAATGAGGGCAAGAACCTACCTTAGTCACATGCTGCTCAGCCAGGGGATCTTGCCCAAGAAGCAAGTACAGCCAGCCTGCCATATTAGCAACACAAAATCACAGCGGCATGAACAAAGAAGTGAGTAGCCTAAAAGTAAGTGTATCAACCAAAAGGGAGAAGAAACAACTTACTAATGTGTGCGTCTCCAGTCCCGAAGGACTTAGCAACCAATCCAATGAAGGAGAGGAAGTTCCCAGGCAATACCACGGGGAGGTTTGGAGTCCGACTTCATCGCCCAGAGGAGTAGTGATAGGCTCACCGGGGCCAAGGAGAAGAAGGTGGGGAGGAAAGTGATTTCACAATGGTGGCTCACTGAAGCCGTGGAGGAGAAAAGAGGGTGGGGAGAGAAGCGATTTCACGATGGTGGCTCGCTGGGGCCGAGGAGAGAAGAGAAGGTGGGGAGAAGAGTGATTTCACAATGGTGGCTCACTGGGGCCGGAGAGAGAAAAGAGGGTGGGGAGAGAAGCGATTTCATGATAGCGGCTCGCTGGGGCCAGGGAGAGAAAAGAGGGTGGGGAGAAAGGCGATTTTCCAAAGATGGCTCGCCGGGGCCTTGGAGGAAAGGGGGTGGGGAGAAGAGTGATTTCCCGAAGGTGGCTCACTGGGGCCTTGGAGGAAAGGGGGAGGGGAGAAAGGCGATTTCGCGATGGTGGCTCGCCGGGGCCAGGGAGGTAAAATAATCGCCTACACGCAAGCGATAAAAAGTCTACCAATTCGCCTGAAACCAAAAACAACATCGGAGAGAAGAGAGAAGGGGGGAGAGAGAGAAGAGAGAAAGAAAAGCAAAAACAAAACAGAAAAGAAAACGGAAGCGGAGCGTAAGAATGAAGATCTCAAACCAAGACAAAGGAAACGGGATTTTTTTTTTCTCTTTAGGCTTTTCAAGTTTTTTTGGGCTTTTGTGTAAGTGCAAGAAGAAAACAAAGTACAGAAAGAAAAACAAGAGAGGGAAACAAGTACTCAGAGAGTGATGGGGTTGCGGCGAGAACCGCCCCGAGAGCGACGATTGCGTGGCTGAGAAGGGGGAGCGGGAGCGGAAGCCTGGGGCAAGGGACGAGAGAACGGATTCACAGCAACAGGCGTAAAGGGATTGCGGTTAACAGACTGAGCAGCCCTCGGGCCCTGATTGCCATTCGGTCTAGACCCGCGAGGCTGACCTCGAGCGGGCTGGGGATTAGACCGACGCTGATCAGGGGAAGAGTTCCGAGGGCCACGGGGAGGAGTCTGACCATTGCCCTGAGCCTGATGCTGCTTCACCTGAGCTCTGCCCTGACCCCGGCCACGGCGCTTGCGAATACCTTCAGGCTTGGCCTTGAAAGGATTCACAGGCGCCGGAGAAGAAGAGGAGGGGCCACGGGGGATATCGCCACTCTTGGAGCGGTTCTTGGGGGAAGAAGAGAAGAGAGAGAGGTTGGAGTACTTGCGGTAGAGGGGATGATTCTGGCGGAAGTGATTGCCAGAGGGAGAGCACTTGCTCTTCTTGCACTTAGCCCAAGCGACTCGAGCAGCCATAAGAGAGAGGGGGTGAATAGGGGCGGCTACCTGCTTGGTAAGAGCAGGGGGGAGAGGGCCAGCGCCTATAGCAAAGGAGGAGAAGCCTTGGATGAGATCTTCGGTTGGATCAGAGTCGGTGTGAGAGCCAACCTGAGAGCCAACCGGCTGAGGAGAAGAAGAAGAAGAGAGAGAGGAGGGAGCTCCAAAGGCAGGGGGGAGAAGCCTGCCTTTGGAGGTAGAAGGAAGGAAGGGATTTCCAAAGACAGGTGGGATAGGTCTGCCTTCGGAGGGAGTGAAAGAAGAAGAAGAACCGAAGGATGAAGTGGGGGGAGAATCCAACTCCATCTCGACGGGGAAAGAAACTTGAGAAGAGGAAGACATTGTGATGTTGTTTTTGGTTTCTTGCGAACTGACTGAATGAAAAACTTACAGTTGGTAGACTTACTCTTGCGTGTAGACGATTGTGAGTGAGATGAAAGATGACAGAATTGAACAGCAGGGAAGGGGGAGATGGGCTCCTCTATATACTTTGCTGAGCACGCGATCCGTAGAGGTCTCTACTTCACCCGATTTCATCAACCCTATTAGGGCTTGGAAGAACAATGTCGAGTAAGTACCATGAGCGACAGATCACGACGCCAAACGCCAGGGGGCGTAGAGGTTTTAGACCGGACCAAAACTCGAGCGAAGTGTAAAAGTGAGAGACAGTGGGATTCTCGGCCTGGCTTGACCAACTGTGGCACCAAATGGCTCAGGGACGGTAACATAGATAGCCTGGCATAGCAATGGATGGCACAATAGACTGGAGAATAGAAAATCGGCCTACGGAAACAGCAAACGCTAATCCCGGTTGCGAGAGAAGGTCACTATTGAGTCGAAGTCATCCTCTCCTAGCTCTATGATACCAGCGAATTCACATAGTCGTCGTAGCTTGTGCCAGAGATTTGGAATGAGAAACACCTAGCAAGTATCCAGGAACACCGACAAGATTGACACATTTCTGTAGCAAGACGCCACGAAGATGGAGACATGGCGGCAGTCTACGTACCTTGTTATCGAAGAAAGTAGATTGGCGGTAGTCAAGGTTAGAGCGGACCATTAACGCCTGCATGGCTGATTATTTTAACCTTAAAAGCACCCGTCGGGCCATCCCGCTACCAAGGTATGCTCCCAAATGCCTGGGTTCCCAATCACTTTGATTCCCGGTACTTGGGTTCCCGAGTGCTTGGAACGCCTGTGAGGGACTTACCGCGATATGAATTGACGTTGACTGTCCGCAATTGGCACTCTTTCCGACATCAATCCATCTCCATGGCCGTGGGGAAGAAAGAGTGGATTGCTTAAAACAGGGGGAACAAGAGGATTGCCCGAAGTTGAACTCTAGAGAGACCATACCATGACTCGATTAACCGAGCAAACTCTACCTATCTTGCACCATATAACAACGCTTCGTCACGGAGTATTCTTGCCGGGATAGTCATGAGGTAGACACTCAAGGTAAGTAAGGTTACTGCCAAGGTTAGGGGGGGAGGGGGCGTTGGTACCTGCATGAGCGTCCAAGTGGTACCCGTCGAGCCATCCCGCTACCAGGTTGATTTCCTCCGGCTGATTGGGACGCCTGTTAGAGAATCTCCACACCATAAAAGGGCGTTTGTTTCCCGCGACTGATTGTTTTTGAAACCAGAGTCGACATCCACGTTCATCCCGAAGGAGGAATAATAAAGGAAGACATTGTGAATGTACACTTGATCTTCAGGGGAAATGACACCACGGCTGGCCTATCCAGTCAATCAAACACCACCTACTTGCGTCTTGCTCTAGATACCCCTATTTTGTCACGGAGTATTCTTGCTAGAATATGCAGTCACGGGAGAGGTTAACCGATGGATCAGCTCGAATAAAGTCGTCAATCTCCTACCACAGTACCTATTGCCCGTGTACTATTTTCCGCCGACGATGACATAATTTGCGAGGTCAGCCAATCCATTGAATGTAAAAAGGCATCAATTCACACGCCGCTGATTTTCAATAACGCTAATCCCTTCTTAAATTTTTCATTGGTTACGTCAGGAAGAATATATACGCCAAAAATATAATATAAAATGGGATAATATTTGATTCGTTGCTGCCCCTTATACAGAGTACGTACCTATCTACTGATGCCATTCTGTACTTAACAGGATAACTACTAAGGTTTGAGAATCTACCGGTATGTCAAGCCCATTGTGAGGATATGGGGTACTTTTGACATGCAGTGGACCACCCAAATCTCAATCACGGCTTTCCTGACAAGCTAGAAGGGCTTTTTGCCCGTCAAAAGTACTGATCTAGCCTCCGTGCCTTTTCTCCAGACATGCGTGTTCCTTAGCAGTCCCACAGAAGTTTGACCATTTCGCCATGCCCTTTGCGAGATACTGATTACGCTTTCCAGCCTCGACCAAAAGTCTTCACGTTGAAGATAGGCCATAGGCTCATAGTGGACAACCGTTGGTCATGATGAGTCTTTGATTGGTCGAAAGACACGTGGGTGAATATCGATCTTCGTGACAAGGGTACGTGTTAAGACCAAACATGTATTTGAACGCTAACTATGCTTCAACTTATTCATATGTAACAACATGAAAGACCAAGGTATTTACCGGTGCCAAGCTCATGAAGAAATCATGGCAAAGATCCCCTTCACAAGATCAGTAAACCAACAATCTGTGCCAGCAGAGTCATGTACAGTAAAAAGCGCAGGCTGACAGACTGGCTCGCCCCCGTGCCTTCTCCCAGTCATGCCGCAGCGCCGCCGCCGACCTTGGACATGATGAACTTTGTGGCTGCGTCCCCATCCGACTGGACGTAACTCAGGTGAACCTGGATGTTGGCCCCGCTGTCGCAGAACGGGTCGCCGCTGTTGCAGAAGGAGGCCATTTTGCTCGAGACGGCGTCGCACCCGGCAGTCTTGGTTCTTGGAAAGATCTAGAAGGCGAATTGGTCAGCAAAGTCTGTCCTGGCCGGAGAGGTTCTTCGTCGTCTTGCTTACGCCGTTCTTCTGGCTCGTTCCCTGATCGAAGGGCTGCCCGGTCACGTGGCTTGGGTCGCCCATGAGGACGACGGCGGCAACTAAGTTCATGTCAGTGCCTGGTAAAGATCTCTCGATATCACCCGGAACGTACTTTTATCCGTAACGTCAGTAGCCTGGGGCTCTGTTGATGCGAACCCGGTCTCGCTTGTGCCGCAAAGGACATCGGCAGTGACATGCGCTCCCTTCATTGTCTGTAAGTCTTCCTGTCTCTTTCTGGTCACGATGAGCAACCACTTACTTGCGAGTATCCCATGAGAACCATTTTCGTCTGGGGGCATGCCTTGGCGTAGTCCTGGACCAGCTTCGTCATCGCCGTGACGCCAGCCTTCTGCGACGGCTGGTAGGGGTTGAGCAGCGCAGGATAGTCGACCGGGACAATATCGGATCCCGGAATCTGCGACTGGATGCTATTCGCGATGGCACCAATGACTCCCGTGCCCGGCTGCTCGGTGCTGGCCCGGGCCACAATCATGTGCACGCCCGTCGCACAGCCCGTCGCGTTCGTCTGTCGTGAATAGACCTCGCTCCTGCCCTGCAGGGCGCCCAGAAAACCTAAAGCGACGACGGGCGAATAGACCATGTTTGCGGAATTGAAATAAGCGCTCTGCACTAGTGATTTTGACAGGAAAGGTTGTTCGTTGGGCAGATGCTACGCTGGCGTTGAGTTACTCTGAATACTTCTATCAAAGGAAAAGATAACATGGGACGAGGGGACGCTGCGCTACTTATATGTTGAGTTGCGATGGCAGACGTCAGTCCGAAAGCTGAGTCGATATCGACCACCGTTTTCCGTCCATCGCGGCAATCGAACCAGCCGAGGCTGCTATGGATCAACTTCAGCTCATTTGTGACAGAGAATGCAAGGAGCGTGGCTAGAAAACAGTCGAGTTGGCTACAGGACGTTGAAAGTCGCGAGGGTCCCCCATCAAAGAGTCGCCTCCGACCTGGCGGGGCCAAGACTGGGGTTGCTGGACCATCCCAAGATGGAATCAAAAGCGAATTCCCAAACAAGCTATCGGGTTCTCGGCCGATTCAACGTTGAGTGGTGGACCACATGGTCTCAGCATGGTGTGTTTCACCTTGAGCCGCCAATCATGGGTCAGAACTCGCATTTCGAGACTCTCGATTCGGTTGGCGGTGGGAGAAGTCTGTTGTTGTAAAAACGCTGCAAAACGAATTGCGGATGATCGGCTCCATGGTTTGCGATCTAGGGTAAGGTAGGCACGGTACATCGCGGGTCTTCGCAGGGGGGCTGTGGTGAGCAATGGAGCAAAGGTGAGAGATGCGACTGGTCGGCGCGGTTATGATGCACGTCATGGGTTATTTAATGGAGTCTTTAGGAAAACGAACGACGCCGGGGTAGTTCCAGATCCTTCATCCCGGAATCCGTTCGATGTTCTGTAGAGACAAATGCGATTGGCTAGATTCTGTAATCTGCGCGGCAGCGCGGCAGCGTACATGGCGTTCATCCCAGCTATTTGAGTAAACATTCTCCAGCAATCCCTTCGTAGGCCCTGATTATTCTTTCTAGCTCATGTACAGAATCTTGTTGTCAACAGTGGCTAAGCATCTTCATCGACCAGACATGTCCACACATGCAGCTATGCCCGGTCGGCCGCGAGGGTTCTACGAGAACTTCTGGGACCAACCTCTAGCCTTGCTAGCTTGGATTGATTTGAACAACCGGCCGACTGGGTCACAATTCATGCCGCGGCAGCAAAGCTTGCCTCGGTCTTCGAAGAGCTCTTCTATCTCGTAAGACCGCCAGGAAGGCGCTTGCCTGTCTTGGATTCTGTCGCGAAGTTTGTGATGCAGTCTAGTTGCATACCGCAGATGGGGTTTCGTGATCAATATAGCTGAGGCTTAGCCCGGAGAACAAGTCGGAAACGGTATCATACATGAGCTGGCGAGTCCTCCAAGCCAACGATGACACCAAATTACTTTCGGAAGTGCTCGATGTGATGTGAGGACGTACATATTGCCGCCCGCTTGAGCTCAGACGATATCCTTTCATCGAAGTGAAATGAGCTTCATTCAGTGGTCTTCAAGACACAGTGGAGGTTACCTCTTGTAACTTTTAAAGAAAGAGTGAACACTAACGAGACCTTTTCCCTCACTTCTGCCGTGACTGATGCCTTGACTGCGTTTTAGTTGATCACTATCGCATAGGGTAGCAGTAAACTTACTGCTGAGAATCAGGCAACTCCCTAACATGCCTTAGCACCCCGATCCACTACGAGAAGAGGCAAACGAACTGATTTGCATTATGTTCCCTTGTTCAAGTGGAGATCTCCCCTGTTCCGTATAGGAGCTTTGACAGGCAGGCTTTTTGCAGGAGGCAGCCCGACGACCAAGACAAATCACAGAAGAGCCTTCGGTCATGGCGTTTCTTGCCCGACTCCACCTTGAGCCATGCCATGAAACCATCCGCTGTGCCCCGGCGAGCTGGAGCAAAGCACGTCCACGGTTCAGCTCCATCGCGACTTCGACTAAGACTCACTTGCGACAGAGTAGAGGAACTCTATTAGAGTATTTTCGTGGGGCGTGTCTCTTTGGTTTTGGCTGGTACTGACGCCGAACTCAAGAGAGCCGAGGCATCAGCTTGTCTTTCTTATGTCAATTGTGTATCAGGAATCGCGAAGAGACCGACCGGCGCTGGCTTCCTCATATCGAACCCATCGCCACAAACACTCACGGCTCTCGGTCAGTCGGATGATCGCCTCGAGCTCGAAGAAGCTGTAGACGTGGCATAAGGTCTTGCACACCGCGAGGCGGGAGAACGACCCGGACAATGATAATCCACGCAACCTACCTGAATATTAACTCATTCATCACTGAAGTTTAGAATCATTCAGTGTCGAAGCTGTAGCCACCAACTATCTACTCAACGATCCGGTGAATACCCATACTGGTGCACTACAGCAGTGCCTGTGGTTGCGACGTGATGTCTTCGTCCACTCACTGATAATAGCTTGGATATCAGCCTTCATCGCCTTTTTGAAAATGCTATGGACAATGTGAATCCTGGCTGTTATGACCGCATATGCCTAAAGGGGCTAAGCAGCCAGACACAGGCAGAGGTCTGGGTGGCAGGATTACCACATCTGTCCGTGATCGGTCGGTGAGTGAGCGCTCTTTTCTTAGAGTGGAAATTAAGCTCTGGCGATTAGATTGCGGAATCAATGAGCTGTTCATTAAATAAGTGTAATGAGCGTTTACTTGCTTGGACGTCTGCGCACGACAGCTGCCATCTCGTGGTGTCCGAACACCAAGAATGATGACGTAACACCGCAGCCGAACATCCCGCCGCAACTTCCGGCCCGCGCCAACTCCATCTCATCCTCTTCACGACAAATACAAGAACAACAGCGATCAACACAACTAGCCCGATCTATGAGAGCTCTCTCATGTAATGGCTTCACGCCAGTCCCTTCCTGCTTACAGAGACACCGATGTGGAACTCGACGCTCTAGCCGAAGTCCCGGGTCTTGAAGGTCCGGACTCTCCACTTCCGCTTCTACACGACAACGATGACAACTTCGGACGGCCGACTGGGACAAGGAGTTATCCTAGCGACATTATGGAAAACGCACCGAAATGGATGAAGAATGCACAGCCGTGGACTCGCTCCTTGCCGCAGGGAATATTCACGACCATACAACCCCGGCTTACAGTGGGATACGTGCTCTGGGGTCTCATCGGGCTGTATGTCTTATACTGTATCCTCATCCAGTCGCCTTTACTCGCATCCAGGCTACCAAACTACTCAGGGCCTTTTGAAGTTGGGGCAATAGACATCGAGGTTCCCGTCCGTACTCCTCGCAACACAAGCGACTCAGTTTTCGCCAGCAACGGCAAGCCGGCGTTCAACCTCGAGACAGTACTCTTCACTCTATATTACCCAGCCGAGAAGGGTGTTAGGGGAACAGGCCATCACTATTGGGTACCGAAACCCATCAGCCTCACAGCAGAGGGCTATGCAAGGGCCGCTCACTTCAACAACTTCATCTCGCGACCGATATTCACGTTCGCACTATGGGCTCTGGTGGGGAGCATCAAGATTCCTGCCCAGGTTGATGTACCACTTCTCCCTCAGACAAGCAGTAAAGGAAATGAGAAATTCCCCGTCGTGGCGTTGTCTCACGGTCTGGCCAGTTCCCGGGCAGATTACACGCACTACTGCGGTGAGCTCGCGAGCCGTGGAATTGTCGTTGCTGCTATCGAGCATCGCGACGGCAGCGGCCCTGGCTCGGTCGTTACAGCTACGGACGGCAAGAGCCGTAGGGTGATGTACCTCACCAAGAATGAACTCAGGGGCGGCAACGAGATGAAATCTGATGACTTGAAGTTTGAGCAGCTCGCCTTCCGACAGGCTGAGATTGAAGAGACGATAGCGGTGTTGCAGTCACTTCACGCCGGGAAGGGGTCAAAGATATTCGCAAACAATGCCCGCAAAGAAGGCCGCGGCCTCGCGGACTGGGAAGATAGACTCGATTTCTCCCAGACAGTCATCGCAGGCCATTCCTTTGGCGCAACGGGGGCGCTACAGGCTCTCAAAGGGGCAACATCAGACGAGAATCCGGCTGTGGGAGGTATCGCTCTCGACCCAGGGAAGAGCAGCGGACGACTCAACACCGATATCGACGTGCCCGTCCTCATCGTCCACTCCGACTCTTGGTCCAAGACGAGCACACCCTTCTTCGGCCGTCCGCACTTTGACACGGTCAGGGATATCGCGAGAGACGTACTGAAGCGCGTTGGCTCAAGTTGGTTCCTAACCAGTCTGAAGACGAGTCATCCCAGCGTTACCGATGCGCCGCTCATTGAGCCTTTGCTGCTTCGCTGGACTACGGGGGCTACGATTGATGTGCGACAAGGGTTACGGGAGTATGTGAGGGTGACTATGGAGTTTATGACATTTTTGAAAAACGGCACGAGAGACGGCGTCTTGTCGGAGGGGGTAACACATGAGGAGTATGGGAAGGATACGATGAGGGACGAAGAGAGGGCGAGAATATCCAAAGAGACGACGAAATACTGGCAGATTCACGTCGCGCCGCCTCGTGAAGTGTAATGAGAATGTCATCTCATAGTCGGATGAAGAAAATGGATGAGTTGTTACTATTTGAAATCTTGTCGATTACCGCCCGTGAAGTCTCGAGGAAACGACTGGGTCAGGATGTAAGACTGGTTCGCCTCATGTCTTTGCTACTCAGTCTGCTATTGGCCTCGAGTGATGATCTTCAATCCTCCAAAGTCACACTGCACAAGTCAGGCTGTCTTCCTCCCCCACTGGCCGTGAATGGGAACTCGAGATTAAATCTCACATCGAAAGACATCATCTCAGTCAAAAGTGCACATCAATTCAGATCTAGAACAGAAGACTGAACCACCCATTCTCGATCTCCCGGCATGTTCCGCATATTCGTCAGGCGACAGATGGGTGCCCAGCCTCTCAAGCCTCATGAGTCTTGGTTCGTTGCCGAACATCCCAAGCCAAGGCAAGCAGCGTCAATGCCGCGCTCCCACCCTCCCAACCGGAAACGATACCCCAGTCCTGTCGCCAGAACACGAAGGCGGACGTCAAGCGCATTGGGATGGTGGCGAGGAAGAAGGCGCGGTTGTCTTGGGCGGCTGCCAGGGTGTAGTAGATGCCCATTGCAATGGCGGCCAGAGCGTTGCCGTTGGCTGCGGGGAGAGCGGCGGCGGGGAGGTCTAGCGCCTTGAGGGAGTCGTGGGGACGGAGGAGGGAGTGGACTCCCGCTGCGAAGGAGGAGAGGCCGAAGACGAAGATTGTGAGGCGCGCTGTGTTTGGTGCCATTGTGCCGTCGAGACTACCACACTGCCGTGGGCTCCCCGGGGTCGAAAGAGGGTTGGTAATCGTGCTTATGTCCGGTCGTCGGATGAAATTGAGACTCTTGAGGAATCACATCTAGGGAGAAACTATGGTTCGACATGCTACGAGTCCACGAGAGGATGGACTGGAGTAGACTGGGTCGAACTCGCCCTCCCTTCGGGGCTCCCTTCGGGACGGGGACGACCCGAGCGGAGGGAGACGAACCTATGGAGTTTGTTCTTCGAGGGGGTCGCACTGGGGGTGGTGTCTTTGGGGGGACATGACGTGCGATATGTGGTTAGCTGGAAAGTCTAAAACCAATACGGACTGGGTCATCACTGTCGCTCCGCTAGGGAACCCCTGAACAGGACGTTGTGGCTTCACTGGATTGAGACATTCTGATTCCAGGTATCCGGAGGACCTTGAATTTTGGAAGTTTTGGGATATTGTGGCTTTTGAGGTGGCCTGATGCTCTTTTGAAGGGCCTTTCGACGTCAATGTTCAAGGCTAGGCTGTTGTGACCGCGAGGAGAGCGGGATGCCTTTGAGGATGGGATTTGTTTCGTTCTCTAATTTGCGGCAGGGTGACATGAGGCTTGGCGTGAACTCTGGAGCTTCAACTTTGTGTAACCGGGGATCAAATCCCAGGAATATGATTCGATGGCCCGATGGGTTGAGATTGGCAAGGCGAGCATCGCTGCATCAGATCATACTTTGGGGGAACTCATCCCGTCGGCAGCGTGGCTTGACCACCAGTAAACTTCGCTCTCGCGTCTGCTGGCGGGAAGGAAACGCCTCATCGCCGCCATGAATAAGCGGCCAATTCCGCAGATTAGATAAATGAGGCGGTGAAGGATGCGGCTGGCAAGCTACAAGAGACATAAAGGCCCAAGACATGCTCCAAGTCGAGCGACAGACGAATGAAAAAACGGCTGGGCGGGACGGTGAACCGCTTGAATGGGAAAGCATTGGTGAGACATGCGCAAGTAGCGGAAGCTGACGTGAATATCTACACAACTACTTGTCCACTATGAGTCTCTGAAGCGTGTGTGGTAGTGTAGGTATGTGGTGTGAGTAGGTCTGCAATGCAGTGCGGCATGCGGTCGTAGTACCGTACCGACTGTACCGCACCCGCGCAACCGCAGACGAGACCAGACTTGCAGTGGAGGTTTTCAGTCTCCCTGGGTTTGATGGGTCCGAGACACGGCCGGCCTGCTTGTAAACCAAGACATCGGGGGCCCGGTGCAGAAGTGAACGTCAAACGTCAGTGGCAGCATCGTCGGCGGCCTCTGGATGTTGGGTTTTCTGATAACTGACCATGCAGGGTTGGAGGAAATATGTGTGATGGCGTGGTGTTGTTGCTGCTCGCCGGTTCCAATAGAATGCAGGCAAAGTGAGGTGATGCATCTAGAGACCGGCTGGTCGAGAAGACGAAGCGAGGAGAGAAGATGTTGTCCGGTCTGTAGACTCGATACTACCTTAGACCATAGGTCGGACGAAACCGTCAGAGAAGAAGAGCCGCTTACCGAATTTCGACTTGCCCCAGCACCTCAATGGCACCCTTCAGACCTCAACTTGCCGAGCGAGCACCGAAAAGGGAGACCAACTACCATGCAGATCTTGAAATGGGGAAAAGCCAGGCGGATGGAAATGTGAGAAAGAGAATTCCTCCGAGTCCGTGCCCTAGAGCCAAAGTCAACTACCGGCACGTCCATGTCAGCTTACCTTTCTACATTCCCACCTCGCAACACATTCTTCCGTCCTCTTCGTTGTGGTGTCATTGATATCCAGCCTGAATATCACTACGACCCTTTTCTTGAGTCTCACGGCGTCATCTTCAACAGACGATGCCTTCTCTGGGCATTCCTCCGCGAGACTGGAACAAGGCCCAGGCTCTAGCATAACGGCAAAACGCCCGCCAGCAATCATCACCATGTCCGACATTCCGGTTAGACGTGCCGTGTGTCGACCACATCAACCACAGTCGGGCGATAGAGCAAGCGAGCAACCAAAAGCCGCGCAAGTGTCGACTTGGGTTCCCAGTCCAGCTGAATTGAAGACATCAGACATCCCGCGACGCATCTTCAAGCCCGGTCGTCCGATTTTCTGGTTCCTTACTCTTGTCTCCAGTCCGACGAGGCGGACTCCCTGTCAATGCTTCCCGTCTAACCGAACAGCAAGACTCCAACGATGGTGTGTGGTGTGTGGTCCTTCCCGCATCTTAACTTGAGACAGGTTGGGGGGCAGTAAGAGACAAGAAAAAACAACCAATGGATGCACAAGGCGTCCGGGATGAGATTGGAGAATCGATAGGTGGGCTCACTTCACCGAGTGTCGCCGGCCAGCTCGGTGTGGCTGGACCATCTTTTCTTCTTTGTCGATTCTCTCTTTCGGGGCGTGAAGCAGACGCTTGGTGGACGGGAGGATGGTCCTCGCCTCGGTCCTTGACGAATCGCAGCTTCGTCGCAAAATACCGTTCCCCCCAAAAAGACCATACCAACAAGGGGAAAATGAAAAAGCAAAGGGACCAAAGCTGGATTTTAAAGGACAAAGCCAAGACAGGATCGGGCCGCAGGTGGGCAGCGAGCCGCCGCCGCCGTCCCCTGCTGGTTGCGCTCTTTTAATCAACTGCTTGCTTGCTTGCTTGTTTGTGGTGGTTCCGTGTGTGTGCGGCGCATACATTACCAGATCTCGGGGTAGAGAGCCCGCTCCAGCCGGCCGGACCTTTTGGCGCAACTGGGAATGGCGTCGAACCGTTTGGTGTTGGCGCCGGTGCGGGTTCGTTTTTGCTTCTCTCCCGTCTGGTGTCTCTTGATGGGATAAAAGGGGGCACTTGGGGGCGGCTCGGACTGCAGAACGGCCCCCTCCCCCCCATAGGTTTGGCGATGCTGATACGATCCGATGTTAGTGTCATCGACGGCCGTTGGCATTATTGCCCGACTAGTGTAATGTGAGTACAAAGTCTCTTAGTCTAGTGTGTGTGTGTGTGTTACTATGTATACCTATCCGTAATAAAAAGAGCTGAGAGGAAGAGAGGGAAACAGAGAATGCGAAACTGAGAGACTGAGAGTTGGTGTGTGTGCTCGCCGAGCCTGTCTGCTCACACCCCCCGGCCGCCGACCGTCCACACATGAATCGTCCAGTCCAGGTCCATTCTTGGTTCCCGATGGTCCCTGTCAAGAAGCTGAGGCCAAGTTTGGATTTTCTGTCGCTACGCGCGCTTGCCGCACCCAAAATTCGATTCACGCTTTAACCCCCATTTAATATTACCCATCCAAACCAAAACGGGCAGCCCTAACAGTAGGTAATCTTGTCTTGTTTCCTAAAGTTTCCCGCCGTCTCTTTCTCTCTTGATTGAGTCTTGCGCCCCTCTCACCCCCAGTTCCCAGTTCCCTTGCGACACCAACGCCGCGGCAGACATCGGTGCCTGCATCTATACAGTCGTACATGACGCCATGCACATCGTGCATCCACTGATCTCCTCTAGTTCCCAGTTCGGGATTGGTAGCAGCAGGACCGTGGGACGGGGCACGGAGACGGGAATACCAGATATCACCTTGGTCCCCAGAAGGCCACACGGCCAAATCTCCCGTTCTGGTTTTACCTTTTTCTCAACAGGCTCGACAGGCCCCTGCAAAGCGGCAAGCCTGGCGGGGTGGGAAGAAGAATAGTTGAAGGGTTCAAATGTTCTGTTGTCGTGGCACTCCGAGAGCCGTGATTTGCTGGCAAAGTCACCACCACTCGCAGCCAGAGTCAAGCCAATTTGCGAGACATGGCACTGCATACATAGCACCAGATCATATGCCCCGTCCTTTCCCCCCCTGGTTCCGGTTCTGCTTTGGTTTGGTTAGGTCGAATTCGCGTCTCGTCTGGTCTGGCCGGCCATAGTATGGAGCATGGAACCGTTTGGCATGGGGGCCCGTATGGGCAAAATAACGAAAAAGTATGGCACGGCATCGCATGGCATGGTTCGGCGGCGGCCACCACATACTTTATGATCCAAGGAACGGCTAGGCCTGGAAGTATCGCCTCGAAAATATGACAGAAGTTGGTGAATGGTCACGAGCCGGCCCCTGGATCCCTTCCTCATCGCTCAAACGGGCATCTTGCAGCGGAACAGCCCTGGATGTCGAATACACACCCTAATGCTTCTAGCCTCTGACCCCGCAAGTCGCCGCTGGCGGCATTCTGCTCTCTTCGTCTCTGAGGTCATGGACTGCTCTCACCCACACCACCCTCTCGACAAGTGTCGACATGGAGTATGAGAGGAGTGGGAGGGTCCTCCGTCTCCGTCTCCCGGCAATGCACATGCTACAACCATGGGATTGCTGGAGCTATGTGATTCTATCCCCCGGCCGGGCCCCTCCCCTCCATCTCATCACCTCCCCTCAGCCAGCCATATCCATAATCCATACCATACGCATCCATGGTCCAGCACCTGGGCCCTTGTTGGTCTTGACATACTTCCCAGCAAAGCAGATCCCAACAAGCTAAAGTAGAGTTGGACCGACAGGACCGGCCGGCCGGCAGAAGGGCCGCATCTCTTACTTCCTACTCCCCCGTCCCACTCTTCTCCATCCGTACCTATCTCTGAGCTCTCTCTTGCTCCCTTCTGTGCGTCTCGTGTTTCTCTCTCACTCTCTCGCTTGCCCCCTTCTAGTCCCCTTCTTTTGCTGCTTTTGCTGCCCGGTGGTACGACGGATCGACTGGCAACTCGTCCACGTACGCCTCTACGGATACATCCATCCATCCACCTTGGCCTTCGCCTTGCCGTCAATAACCTGACCTGCAGGCCCGGCCACCGCACCCGCATCCCCCGTCCCATTCATTCCCCCTTCTCTCCTCGGACACGACCGACCTCCAATCAACCTACCCACCACCCCCTTGAAGACTCACTTTGTTGCTAATGCATCCGTGAGCTGACACATCCGGGGAAGGGCTTCCGGCAACAGAACCCAGAACCCAGAAATACCCCCCCCTTCCGAGGCCGTAGAGAGCCTCAATGAACCTTTTTCTTAAACCATCGACCCAAACGGCGTCGTCTCCCCGTCGTTCACGGTCCCCGTCCGTCCGTACGCCGTCCGCTATCATCCCGGCAATGGCTTTCGCATCGTCGCCCGTTGACTCGCCGTCGTCCTCCTTCTTCGCCGCCGCCGCTGCCGCCCCGGACCTCGACGGCCTCGCCCAGGCGCCAGCGTCCGTCGCTCGCGCCATCCTCGTGGCTCTCTGCGATGACCGACGGGTTCGAGCTCAGGCGTTGAGGCAGCTTGAGCGCCTGCTGCGCTTTGAGGCCGATGTCCGCGAGGAAGAGGAGGATGGTGTCAAGAGGAGCCCCAATTCCGTCTCAAGTCCATCAAATCCAAAAAAGAGAAAGGCAACCGGCGAGCCCAAGATCTGTGTTCAGTGCGACGGCATCTTCACGGCCGACGAGAACAGCTTTGGTTCATGTTGGTACCACTCAGGTAAGCAAGCAAGCAAGCAGAGCGTGGAAACCCAGCAACAGCAGCGGGAGCAGAAGCAACGAGAGACTGGTAGAGCCTCTTCATATCCTTCCAACTCTATTGTTGCCTCATTTCCATGCCGTGCATCTTCTTTTCCCAGCAGAAGTACTACGCTGTACAAGCTGTCAGAAGGGTATCTTATTCTCGTGGTTGAAGGGTCATACTGACTCGTGCACCCACCCCTCTGTTTAGGCGAGCTGGAGCTTTGGGATGAGACGCAAATACCACCAACAATCTGGGACGACGTATCGTCAGACGAGCTGGACACAGATTCCAATCGCCTAGAGTATCCCGCAGCGTTCCGATGGTGCTGCTGCCAGAGGCTAGGCGACAGGCAAGGCTGCGTGCGCGGCACACACGAAGCCAACCCGGACAGGAGCAAAAAGGGCCGCGGCAATGAGCTGTCCGATCTCGAAGACGATCCGCTGGAGCTTGACGACGCCTCATCGCAGGAGTTGGGACCGCCGCCGCATCAGCAGCACTACACGATCTCGAGCTCACCGACGGACGCTGGCCACAAGGCGACGACGGCAACGATGACTGTGAGAACGGCAACCTCGCTGACGACAACACACCATCACCACCAACAGCAATGACGTTCGAAAAAGGTTTACTTGGATTGTTTATTATTTTAAGGACGTGTTTATGGTCCATGTCAGAAACGAAGTCGCTTCCTGGGTTCCCCTCCTTTCGGCCTTCCGGACGAGACTGGTTTTGGTAGACCGGTCAAGGAAATGATTACGGTTTCGGTCAATCGGATGGGCTCCCGGCCTCCCGACCGATGGTGGTCGGTCAACCGGTCGACAAGGCCACGCGAGATTGAAATGGATTTTTTTTAAGGTGCTGGCAGGGCTGTGAACAGACGCGAAGGGAGTCAAAGCGGCAATCGGGCACAAGTTCAAAAAAACCGGAGCAGAGCGGAGCGAAGCAAAGCAAAGCATTTTCCTGGGAGAAGGGGGAGGCATAGCATTTGGCAAGTTTGATACAACAAGACATTTGATGGATGAAGCGAGCAAGCAACATTGAAATTGGTCGGACAAGAAATTGGAGGGGGCGACACTACTGTACTTTGGGGGCAGCTTTTACGCCCAACCGACCACTTTTTGCCTGACTTATTGGCCAGGCTGGCATTTCATTGCCTCGCATGAGGGGATCCTCGTACACCAAAGACATCACGAAATAATGGAGGCAGAACGTAAGAGCATATCATTTGTATTTCAGTGGTGGAAGAATCAATGAATCGAGGGCCACTAGGGGAAGAAAGGCGGCAGCAAAAAGAACGGGGTGAAGATAGCCCACTGCACGCAGAGAACGTCGATTTAGACAGACGAACGGGGCGAGCCCAAGTTTGCCAGCGATGCAATTTACCTTACTTCTCGTTTTCACGAGCCAAATTACAAAATCATCCGTGACATGTACTGATCATTGATGAGGTGAGAAAAACAGCGCGCAGCCCAATGAAGGCAGCATTCCCAGGATCGAGATGGCTCGCATTTTCGCCTCATAGGACTGGCGGTGGCGGAATTCGCATGGTTCGCCGACGACGACAACGACGGGGTGGTGAGACGAACCGGAAGCGTCCTGCCCATAGCGGTCCGATATCATCTGCAGCAAGCGCTCAAATCTGCAAGGGACACCAGAAGCGGCCTAGCAATCCCGCTCCAGGGAATATAAAGCTTGCCAGCCAGCAGCGCAAGTACGGAGTACACACGCCAGACCGAATGAACCAGTAGGCTCGCTCCCGGTGGTCGCACAGGAATTATGTCCCCCCAAACCCGGACCAAACTCCAGAGAGGGTCGAGAGAGTGTGTGTGGCTCTTGGGGAACACAAGACGCACCACCTACAGGCTACTTGCCTTTCGTCAGCTAGCCAGCCGCTGGACCGTCTCTGGGGCCATGGGTAAATGCCCTGTACTCTGGACTCTAGAGACTGAATAGCCGTAAGCTTGCGGTGCCACAGCAGGGCTTTGTGTGCGAGGAATCCAATGAGGCCACCTGGCGAGCAGGGATGACCCTTACCATCCGAGATTCCCCGGCAAACCCTGATCTACGGGAGGCCGGGGAGGGGGGCACGGGGGGAAGACGGGTACGGGTAAAAGAAACGGGTGTCTGTGGCAGTTGAGTGAAACCCCCCGGCCGTTCAATTCTGATAGACAAGAATGAACATGATTCCTGAAAGGAGAGAAGTGACCCTGGTGAACCCTTCCGGAAACTGGTTTGCATCCCCGTCATTCCGGGTTGGGGTGAGTAGTTGTGGGACTCCACGGAGTACACTAAGTGGGCGCGGTCTAGATGGCACTTCTAGAGTGTACACAGTTAGTTGCTAACGTAGAAGCCCCTCGAATGTCCACGAAAGGTAAAGCTTGCGGACCATCTATAACGTCGAGCAAGTTGCTTGGAATTTGATTAAGGTACTCACATTTCAGATCTCACATTTCCTCCGCGCTTACTCGGATAAGCTCGACTACCAATTCCAACTACTTTACTCTACTTATCTACTAGGCCCAAGAGATTGGTGTACGAAGTAAAGTATCAAGCTAAACACCAATTTACCCCCGTTAAAGTCCGACATCGCAAAACACTTCTTTCCCGGCCCGAAGAAAACACCAAATTATCGGCGCGACACGCCAACGGCAACCAAGAAATCAATGGTTGATCAAGCAAGACAGCGAGCCGAACAGACCGCCGCCCCAAATCGGGAAACGGCGGCCATGTTGGAAGCCGTTTCGGGCACCGATGCCCGAAAAGTCTTGTTCGCACTCTGCAGGGAGGATGAGCGTGTCCGCCGGCGAGCCGTTGACCTGTTGCAGAAGATGCCAAGGACGGATGTCTGCGCCAACTGTAAGGAGAAGTTTGATGTCAACAGGAACGCTCCTGATGCATGTCGCTACCACCCTGGTCAGTATGATGGAATTCCACAGTCAATACCGTATCCGGAATGAGCGGGGAATGTAAAGCTTCGTGTGACTGCACGTGCTTGGCGAGTAAAGAGAGGACATTACGCTGACGTGCGATAGGAGACTTTGAGTTAGACGAAGACCTAGAGGTCTGGGGCACAATCGACGACATTGGACAGTTCTGCGAAATGGACAGCGAAGAATCTCGAGCTGATGTTCCAGAAGGCTTCAGATGGAGCTGTTGCCAACGCGTCGGCGACGTGGAAGGTTGTCAAGAGGAGCAACACGTGGCCGTATTGGAATACCCCCCTTTGACATTAGAAAGTTTCGGTGAGGGTCACCATGCGGTGGAGATTCCAGGGCAGCAAAGTCACGGCAAGCGCAAGGCTGAGGAGGATATTGTCGGCATGGCGCAAAAGACAAGGACGGGTTCTTAATTTTCGACGGATATGACCCGGTGACCCTTGTTCGCGTGCGTAGAGAATTTGAAATGCGGCTGGCTTGTCACTTGGACAGTATGCGACACATCATCTCGTTCAATATCGCCGAACATGGCAATTGCCAAGCTCTCGGCCCTTGAAGGATGCCATTCCCGCATTTCCGACCAAACAGCTGACAGCTCTTTACTACGTGGACCACCCGGGGAACTTATCACACACAAATCCATGTGGGGATATGCCCGAGTAAAGCAGCGATGCCATGCGCTGAGAGGCTCACATGTGAGTTGAGGGCTGTCAGAAGTCTCATAGACTGGCTGACTCGCTGGCCTGTTGGAAAGATCGCCGGCTGACAGGACTTTCGGTGTGATTCCGACATGTACTTGTACACCTGAGAAGGGAGATGGGAAGATAAGACAGCGGAAACGACGGGCCGGATTATAAGCCCCAAGATGACTCGAGAGCCTTAGAAAGCACCGACAAAAGTTTAAAGAGTCAAGTCTGGTCACATAAATAAGACTTGACAGAGTCTTGAGGGCACTTGGTTGAACTGGGTACCGCGAATCATTCCCTAAAATATGGATTCGGGTGGGCCTATTGTGGGCGCCTTCAAGATAGAAGTGCCCGCTGCAGAATCCACCGCAGAAAGTGAGACGGGCCAGGCCGTTCGGACTACCCCCGCAGCATTTGCAAAGTCTTACAACGTCGTGAAGCTTGATACCGGCTGATTCCCCGAGTCCAAGAAGAATTCTAGACTTTGAGGTTCAAGATAGTTCAACAGAATCGTCTCAACAGTAGAGCATTTGCACGGCGAATTAGGACCTCAGATCGATCGCCGCCCACATGTCCTCGTAATTAGGCGATTGTGGAGACCATTTGATGGGTAAGAGTTCTCATTCATCCCTTCAGAGAGAGGATCTGGGACCTTCCGGATTATTCCCGAGCTTAAAACGCCCAACTATTCGAGATGGAGAATACATGTACAGAGATACATTTTGTGCGCTTTTCTGGGGGTTTCGTTTGTTATTACTGGCTCTTCTCAAAACCTTTGAAGAGAATATGTGTAGCTCAAGCTATCGGACCCATTGCTGAGCTCTTAAGAACGTAGAAGGACGAAGTCCAAAAGCCAAGACCCAACTCTAGACTCTTGTTGTCGTTGTTCAAGACCAGATTCCTTCAGCTGCGCTCACCATCGTCTTTTCGCGGATGAATTTTCAAAAAACTTTTCAGACTTGGCTTTGTGGATCAACTCTTCAAAGGCAGAGTTGAAAGAGTTCATACCACGGCCCCTGCCACGAGGGAACTGTAGATTGACTCTGAGATATCCTTCATGTCTAGCAGGCGGTAGAAATGCCTCGCGATTGCTTTCAGTTGGAGCAGTCTCTCACTAGTTTATAGATCCATGGAATCTCATTCGAGACACTGATCCTCGTTCGAACCTTTTTTCTATGTGTCTCATCGAGTCATCTCACAGTCAATCGACCCTAGGCCTGCAACATTTGATTTTGGAATTGTCGACACGGCTCTGTCAGCGAATAAATACAATGACCATGCAGCCTAAACCAGGGTCCTCCTGGATATCAGCTGCTATGTCTCTGAAGTAGGTCTGTGTCTATGAGACTTTACGATAGAGAACTGATGGTCTTAGCATGCCTGATTATCTCGCAGAATCGAGAGAAGCCGAACAGTCATCCGATTACTCCCAGAGTCGGTCCAACAAGCGAGAACGTCCCGAATGTTGTCCTGGTTCTCCCCAGCAGCCAATCCCCAAGGTGATGGGCCTTCGTTCACTCAAACACGGTTGTATCAGACTTGAACTGACAACGAACACAGAGACTCAGAACTGAAGAGCCTAAGAAAGAGGAGTCTCCGTTGTTGTGAGTCCAGATTACATCCAAACATCTCTGAACTCGAGAATCACACTGACATCGTTGTAAACAAAAGCCGGCTTCCGCCCGAATTACGAAACGAGATATATCGGATCGCTTTCATCCGTTCGACCGTTACGATCACCGCTAAGGCGGTCTATGGCTATACCTGTAGCCGTTCTAGATTCCGCTGGAAGCGCAAGAATGTGCGACATCATGATTCATGGAGAACAACCGAGTACTTGCCGGTTGCCTTTCTCAGAGCTTGCAAGCAAGTTCATGCCGAAGCGCGGGCGATTCTGTACACCAACTACTTCGATGTGCAAGATATGGAGACACTCGTCGTTTGGTTGAAAGACTTGGGGACCAATACTGCCTGCCTACGAACCATTGTACTCCAGACTGAGCCTCAGGGATGGTTGCCGTCATCAACTTCAAGCAGATACCGGACTCAGCAGACCCGTTATCGAGAACTGTGTCGTAGGGCTGCGAGGATGTTAGCTACTGCCGAAAATCTCCAGACTCTGCGGATGCAGTATTGTTACAATCTTACATGTATGATTGCTGGCCCGGCTCCGAGGGGAACTTTCAAGCGACCTGGACCTGTTTCTGGCTGGATCGGCATCGCGCGTCGGGTTGCGGAGGTATTGTACCATGATTTTCGGTCGGTGTACTCCAAAGGTCTGTCCCGTGGCCACAGTCCGGAAAGGCTGTGTCATATTTTACAAGTTAGCCGGAATAACTGGTGGTGTTATCGGCACGCATCGAGTCCGCAGAAACTTAATGCTAAAGAGGCAAGAGAGGCTGAAGAGGAGGTTATAGAACATCTAAGGCTGCTGCTGAGGAGAAACCTCGAAACTCGCCTGGGATATCGAGCTTGAAGAAGATTCATAATTACCAAGCAGCAAGTCGCCGCACTTGAAATCCGACCTAGGCTGGCCTCAAGGAAGCCAATGGCATGTAGGAAGCAGAGGTGGTGCTACAATTGAAAGATAAGACTAGGTGACTAGAGTCATGATGGCTTTATCTGTTCCGAAGTTGTCTTGAATGATACCGAGTATTTTCATTACGGTCTGCAGCTTGAAATGATACAGTCTCACTCACTTCTTTTCCATTTAAAACAACGCCATCGATGAAGCCGTTTCGGCGTCTCTCCTTTCACAATCAAATCTTTGTCTTGCAGCTCGAACGCGCGCCCAGGTGAAGCACGATGCAAGGTCGCCATAAGGAAGAAAAAGCAGCAAGGAGAACTTTCTTCAGTCTCAAGTACCTTTCAGGCAGCAAATTAATAGAGATGGACTTTTCATTTATATCAAAGCGGCAATTCATTACTACTCAGCAGAAATTTGCCATCTACGGCCTTCAGTTCGACGCAGCCTTACAAGCATCAAGCCGTCCAAGTTAGTAACTGGTTACCAATGATTTCACGTTGAATATCAGCTGACTTTCCAAACTAACATCCAGAGACAAGGACTGCATTTCATCTCCTCAACTCTCGCCGATATGGCCTCGTTGCCGGTCGTCTCAATCTCGACCGGTGGGATCCAACGACGGGACAGCCAGGATTCAAACACCTTGCCGGACAGGGTCTGTCTGAGTTCTTTCCTGCGTATGAAATTAAACGATTGCCGATCTTGACTGACATGCCAGATAGAATGCGCATGATAACGGTTCTGGGCCGAGACGCTTTTCCTTTCTGTGAGTTCTGCAGCTCGGGCTTTTGTGTAATTGGTTGCCAATATCGCTAATACTGAAGCACAACAGATACCTGCCTGGGGAGATTCGAAACAGCATCTACACACTTGTTCTATCCCCCCCAGATCCGATTTATATCATTGACAGTCTTGTCTCTACCGATATACCCTCGAAACGATTTCCGTTTCGAAGGAAAGGTCTCGGACAATGCTATCTTAGGTGCCGTTTTAGCTTATCGATGCTTCGTACTTGCAAAAAAGTGTTGTCTGAAGCACGTGGCATCGCCTACTACCAAACATTCGAATTTTGGGATGAAGACGCGCTTTTCGTCTGGCTACGCGACATTGGCCCGTACAACAGATCGCATCTCTGCGGGATTATCTTATATGAACTGCGCACTTGTCCAGACACGGTTACCCACAACATGGTAATGAGTCGCATCGCTGCAATTCTTGATAACTCTCCGAATCTCAAGAAAATCGAGGTGGTCGTTATTAGATTCGACGGCGTGATCGACTTCAGCAAGCGGCTCAAGCTTCACAGAGATGGACAGCCAAAGCTGCTGGTCACTGAAGCCCGGCACATAGCTGAATGGGTGTTCTCATTCTTCCGCCCCCTCCTGTGTAGTCCTTCCTTCCGCAATGGGGATCCTCAGCGGTTATCTTCCTTGTTGGCGCTTGACATGCATGCTTATTGGCTCTACGGGCAAAAGGCTGATTTTCATCGATCGAATTGGACAAAAGAGATGGCGGACGAAGCAGACGCCTCGTTCTCTGAGCATCTGGAGCTGCTGCTCGAGAGAAGTCGGAAGAAGAATCTCCGTCGTCGCCAAAAGAAGCTTCAACGACTCGGCTGATGTATTGACCCCACGAAAGGTCCATCACTTGAGGTGGTCACAATGTACTCATCAAGATTGAAATAGAGCCGGAGTTTGATTGAAAGAGGTCAGAGACAGGTATGCTGGTAGCCCTGGCACATCGTCGAAAGAGCTAGGCCCTCGGTTGGCTGACCTCGATGAGCATCGGGGCGACCAGCTTTGGTCAGGTGACACTCGGTGAAGCCACAGATAGTTCAGGCCGTCACGAAGAACCAACAGTACCGTGGTTTAAGAAGACGGTTTTCTTGGGGCGTTTCATGTGTATTTTGAATAGAACTTTAATCTGCAGTTATCAAGTGTCTCAAACTCTCCGTCTTCTTCGGAATCTACCTACCTTATGACCTTGATGGATCTCACTAGATGTGTTGCTAAAGATGGTCCGACTCATCAAGTCGTCTGAGCCAACCTACTACCTGCCCTCGCTACTCTATAGTCGGAAAGTGGAATGTCAAGGACTGTGTCGTAGCGGGGAACGCCGCCAGAGAGTTTGCCTGCTTGAACAGGACGCGACCTCGAATTTCGTAATATTCCATGCATTTCTATACCTGAGGCTGGTAAAGAGTCAAGGGGTTTCAAAGGCTTCCTATGGTAAGAGCCGAGATCTGTCTCGAATCTTTAGTTCTTGATGCTTTTTGCCAGTGGTAGGATGCAGGTAGTCCCATGCGGTTGGACGACCGCGCGGGTGACAACAGCCACACACTCGCAATGGTGCGCGCGCGAAATAGAAAATCTTTTTCTCGCCGTTTGTAGAAGAAAAGCTTTCCCTCTTGAAACACCACGCAGGCATCAATTAATGACTGGAAGACAAATTCTGCAAAGACCGACGCCTACCTGAGCTAGGTAAGTCAGATGAAACGGGAGCCCGACAACATTTGAACGTCCGCTTTACATCCCCTGACCCATCGGTTTCTAGGCAATATCTTCACCCATGAGCTGCAAAACCTCGCGCAAAACGAAGGCTAGACTTCGGGGAGTCAAGAAGCTTCGCAAGGTACGGCCCTCTTCGCATAAAATTCAGAAGCCACAACGGCGAAGTGTGTGGTCCCCAAGTTAATAGTCGTCTAGCAATCCCAGAATACAGCACGTTACTTCAAACCGTTTCGGTTTTTGTATGCGTCCTAAAAAGCTTGGTCATCAGACGTCAACGACTGACTTTGCCCTGCAGGGACTTGCCCTCTGAGCTTCGCAACAAGGTCTATGAATTCGCTCTTATCTGCTGCGATGCTATCTCAATCGCCAGAATCCTTCACAAGGAAGGATGTACCAGTGGAAGAAAGCTCGCCATCCTTCACCATCGAAACTGTAGACTAGCGAGCCGAGACACGCATCCCGTTGCCGAGCTCATTCAGACTTGCAAAAAGATTCGCCACGAGACGTCGTTCATGTTGTACAACAGCAACGCCTTTGGATTCGAGGATGTTCCGACACTGATACTATGGCTCGAAACGATTGGACCCGCAAACCGAACCGTCTTGCGGAGCCTTATGATTGAGGGGGACTGCTGCTACGGACAAGCCTCTATAACATCGTGGTTGGATCCGTTGCATATATACGACCCAAGCCCCTCGTTCCTGATGGCTCCCTTCCGCGACCCATACCGAGAATTGACAGCCAGAATCGGCGACCTTCTATCAGAGTCGATGCTTCTCGAAGCTCTGTGCTTGCCGTGCGGCTACAGCTTCTGGAGGCTTCCAGTTCTGACACTTCGGCGGCGCGATCCATATCCAGTGCCCTGGCCAACCCATATTGCGCGCCGCATCGCAGAGACTCTGTTCAAAGATTTTCAAGGCTTTTTCGAGAAGCGCCTTCTATTCGACGCAGACACGGAAAAGCTTTCCAACGTCATCATGGTCAATGTCATCTGCAGAAAAGACCGCAACAAAACGTGGAGTCCAGCGGTAAAGGATGTCTTGACCAAGATAGAGGAAGGGGCAGGACACTTAAACTTGTTACTCAGGCGCCTTCAACACAAACAAGTCGGAGGCAAGCCATGACAATTCTACCTCCATGAGATTATGTAGCAGGATAGGGTACACACTTGAATATGGAAAGAGTGGACGGTCGAAGGATCTTTCGAAGGTAACGAGATTTCCTTGCTGAATCAAGCCAGATATCTGCAACAGGCGGTAAACTACCGCAAAGGCTTCTTCAGCATGGGAGATCGGTTATCTGTGTGTGCGTTATCTGAGGTCTAGACAAGTAGAATTGAAGTCGATCCAAGTTATTCGTGACAACAAGCGTCTCCTGAATTGTCTCGACAAATCGTTGTTGGAGGAGTCTCTCTGGTCCAGTAGTTGCAATCAGTTCATCCCATCAATGCACATCATGAACTCAAAGTTCAGATCGAACTAGTAGTAGTGCGTAAGGCAAATCCGGCGGCTTTCGAGTTCAAGTTTGAAGTTAGCAAACGCTAGCCCCCTCGACTATTGCTTATCTCTTGCTTCTCTGACTCTCGTGGGCCGATGCATCTTGCGGCGCTGGCAAGCATCAATCCGATCGCATTACCTAAGCACCGAATGTGCTGGAGCAATGTTCAAGATTGGGAGAGCCTGTCACTATGCCATCAAGAATTCTCGGCAACCCTTTCCCTGGGACATATTGCGATGCAAATCACTCTGCAATTCCAGCAGGGCCATCTCAATACTGTAAAGAAGCAGCGGTCGGCGAAGAGCGCTAGATAGTGAATCGATAATGTTTGAGTTTCCATGACTCCACGTCGCGATGGTTACGTTTCGGATCTTCGGAGTTCGTACGTCGTTCGTCGAGGCTCCGTCCGGATCGAAGTCGGGCGCGCTAGCAACTGCCACGGTCAATTCTCAACTGTTTGTAAACAAGACTTGTAGAAAATGGTCGCAGGACCCTCTGATTGTAATGTTCCCGATGGACGAAAGTTGAGAAGAACTGACAGTAAGTCCGATATCGTCATAGGTTTGGAGGCCAGCTGCAAAGTACGCGGGCATGGTTGTTTGGGCGGTCGTGTCCCGCACTAACGTGTTCATGAGACGTACTTTTAGCAGAAAGATTGGCTAACAGAGAGACAATGCCGACAAATGTCTCGCGTTGCAAATTGTTGCATTTCGATTAGCTAAGTGTCAGTTGTGAAGGGATGATGGAGAATAACCGCCAAAGATTAGATAACCATAACGCCTTGCAGATCCGACACGACTCATTACGACGCTGCGAAACTGTGTCAGGTATAAACAGCAAGAGAGCCTGATTATCAAGATGAAAGAAATCTCAAACCCGAGAAAAACGTGGCCGAGACTAGAGAAACCGAAGGTCCTCCCGGCCTCAGAACGCAATAAGCATTTCGCTAGCGCCCATGCACCTCGCTTTCCCGTCTCCACATCATGGCAAGGCGCATTTCTCAATGGCGCCAGAGTGCAGATTCCCGAAGCGCGTCTCGAAGCCTGAAGGCCCGTGATCCCCGTCAGCGATTCCCACACCTGGGAACCAGAACCTCGTCCGGACTCCAAAGCTTGGAAAGGGGGAGGCGGCGGCGGCGGCGGCGGCGCTGAGAGCCCTGTTTATGGGGTTTCGGGGAGTTGCGATGACAAGTGTCAAGCCTCCTTGGCCCGAACCGCCCAGCCCACTGGTTTGAGGCTTCTACGGAGACGACAGAAGCTTGGAGGGGAGAAGAAAGAGGCGAAGGCCCAAGGTCTCGAAGCAGCAGAGACATGGATAACTTTATTGGGTGGATACGCGTATGCTTAGGCCATAAGGTTGTTGGTGCTCCGATTCTCTAGTGCCAGTTTTCTTCGTGGCTTTGTCAGAGAAGAAGTGGGAAACCGAGACCGAAGTGCCGTTCGCCCTAGGGGGCCGGGGCTGTGCTACTTTTATCTTTTCCCCCAACCCAAGTTCCCCAGCGACAATAGTAAGGTATAGTAGTAAGTAAATACGTGTAATCTGCGGTGTCTGACTGCACAGCAAAGAGAAAGAAAAAAAAATGTGTCCGCCCCCATGAACCGAGACCGAAGGCATTCTCACACAATGCGCAGCGTGCGGCTGTGTTGAGGTAGGCCCGACACTATGGGAATGCGTATCGAAATTTCTTTCAGGATACGGTCAATACGTGTAAATGCGAGATGCAGCAGAATGCGAGATGTTTGTATATAGATTGACTGTAATCCGGATGTTGTTACCGTCTTCCTTCCAATACAATACAATACAACCAACACAATCATTATCACCATCACCACCACACAAACAATCTCTCGGTCTTGACTCAGAATACTCCTCATCAAGGACAGTCCGTACCAGTACCAACTTCAGTCCTCCTCCCAAACAATCACAATGGGCCTCTTCGACTCCAAGCTCAAGTTCCCCATCCATATGGTCCAGCTTGCCCTGGTCATCGCAGCTCTTAGTCTCTCAGTGGCACGCATCTTCCTCCCCAACCGCCCCAGGGGTAGATCCGGTACCATGGCTCTCGGCATGGTAAGTCTTAAGCTTCTTTTACCCCACAAACCAAGCAACCAGCTAACCAAACCTTTTCAACCCCAGGCCGCAAAGTCTCTCATTATCATCGCATACCAAGTCCTCACCGAGCACGTCTCCTCCTTCAAGCGATGGGCCAGCCTGAAAGCCAACCTCATCCTCAACGGCATGGAAGTCGTCTTCTGGGCCGCGGTCGCCTACATGGGCATCCAGGGCAACACACAACAATCCTGCGTGGGCGTCAGCTGCACCATCGGCTGGATCGTCGTGGTGATGGGTATCCTCCTCAGCATCGTCGCCGGCTACGCAACCATCATCGCCTGGCTTGACTTCCGCTACTTCAAGGCCAACGGCGTCCGCCGCGGATCCATGAAGCAGACCGCCCTCGGCAGCAGCAGCGACAGCGAGGCCGGCCAGTCCGCCGAGCGCATCGAGATCCAGCAGCAGAGCAAGCCCCAGACGGCCTCCCCTGCTCCTCGTCCCGCCGTCGCCCCCGTGCACTTCAACAACAGCCAGCAGAGCAACCAGTACGACGCGCCTCCTTACGGCCAGCACTATGCTCAGCAGTACCAGCAGCAGTACCAGCAACAATACCAGCAGCAGCACCCTCAACAATACCAGCAGAGCCAGCAATACCACAACCAGTACCACAACCAGTACCAGTACCAGCAGAGGCAATGAGGTGGAAGAGAGGCGGACTTTTGAATTAAGAGGACTTTCTGAGCGATTCAGCATATCCAGCGGGGCGAATTGGGATGGAAATACAGGTTTCGTTTGTTTTTTGGTTCTTTACAAGCGAGTATGATGCAAAGAGACCGAGCCGGTCTGCACAGCCAAGGGATAATGGCGTTCAAGTTAGATGGGGACTATGGGACTTTAGACCAGAACATCTGGCTTCTTCTTTGTAAAAGCCTTCGGGGCATAGAGAGCGCCTCTGCAAAAGCATGATGGCGAAAGAATCGATTTGAGTTTGAAAGCATTCTTTGACAACCACGAACCGTGACTAAATCACGAAACAATGGCGACAACAGTGATGTATTTACTTACGGGGAACAACACTAAGGTACTTTGAAATAACGTGACAAAGAAATGGGTCAGTCATTACAAGGTAAACTGCTGCTGCAGAACAGAAGATGGAGGAGAAAGGGAAATCCAATTCCAGAATCGTTCTTTCCATTGTGGCAAATTACAGCCATTACTTTGAATGCTTGGCTCTAGAGCCGTCTGGACGTCCGAACAAGAAGTTAGAGATCTTGTCTCCGAAAGGAACCACCGACGAGGGTGCCGCTTGGCTCTGCTGTCTCCTCAAAGGCCTACGGCTGTATGAACGAGGAGCCCACGATTGGTCATCTAAATCTCCATAACCCGACGACTTGCGCCTGTACGACGGATGGTCCCGAATCACCTTCCTGAGCTCCGCCCTGGTCAAGTTCGGCCCCTCCAGCACTTGGCGCCACAGCTTGGCATCGGACCTGCCGCCAGGGCGACTCCTACCTCTCGTAATGATCTCTCGCAGGGGTAGAGATCGTAGCTCGGCCGGTATCATATCACTCACCTGGCCCACGTCTACCTCAGACCCCTCAGGTCGATATCCAGCATCGTAGAAGAGTCCAGCTAGTTCGGGATACGCATCCGTAAAGTCGTACCAGAAGATAGGGTTGCTGATGGCGGGTGCGTCATGCTCATTGAGCATTTGCTCTGGACTTCCGTCTTCGATGATACTTTGCAAGAGCCAAACCAGGTCTACTGCAAGCTCATCCAGGAACCCTTCTTCCTCTATATGCCTGTCAACAACGTATGAAAGCGCAATCTCGTTAACAAGAGCCGGCATAGTCAAGATGGTTGTGGGAGAGGAGTCATCCCCAAAGCAGAGACTTACAGTCGGCAGCGTCTCAAAGCTACGCTCAAACGCCATGGTCCTCATTTTAACGGGCCACACCTGCCCTTCTTCATCGGAGACGCCAAGAGTGTCTGGTTCGCCGGGGTAGTTGAGCATGCCGCTGGTGGCAGCCGCCCACGCTTTCATGACCTCTTGGGCGTAGGCTGGGCAGATGATTGTAACGTGGGACGGGGAACGAGAGCCATGGCCGTATGCTATCAGCGCTGCGTCGCCGCAAACAGCATACTGTACATGTGAGAAGGTGCTCCCAAGACGGTGAAGAACTTGGTGAGTTGATGCGGGGCTTATGTCGGGTCTTGGGAGCGAGGAGCTGGGTGCATGCAGATACGACTCTGCCGGAGACTCTGGGGCTGCGTTGGCTCCAGAGCCATGCGGTTTACTTGGTGTGTTATATCGCAGTGGTTGACTCTCACTTTGTCCAGACGTTTGCGAGGGAGACGAGGCCATGCTCCTGGTAAGACCGCGACAGCGGCTTGATAGACGTTTCAAGAATTCGACGACGGGGAACCGACTTTGATGCTGACGGGATGCCGTATCTGTCAAACCTGGTGGACTTTCAAGGGGAAAGTCAAAAAGACCTGTCGTAGAAGCTGTCCGCTGTGTGCGGTTTCTCGAGAAGTGGAGGCGAGTCGACACGGGAAATCGAAAAGTATACCT